TTTAAGAGGCTCTGGCACATAGGCAAACTGTGAAGTGCAGGGTTGTGTGCTGATGTCACATTAAACTGAATTGAGAATGCTTTTTATGTTCCAATTTATTTTCTGAATTTGAATTGAGGTAGCAAACAGGATATACAATTTATAAGGACAAAATTAAAATAAATTCAAAGACTGCCATTTTAATTAGAAATGTCAGGACGAACTTTGAATATAGGCTAGGCTCTTTGGGGGTGAGGAGGAGAGGGGTTTTCTAAGTTGGAATGATATGAGGGCGAGTAAATTTAAGTTTTAAATTAGAGATTTATTGTGTGTGGTCTAAGGAGTGAACTATCATTGTTCATTACTATATTTAGGTGAATGCATATTGTGGCGTCATTTCTTAGCGCTCTATCCTCTAAATTATTACCCCAATTATAATTAACAGCAGCTTGCCACAGACACATGCAGCCTGACACTTTTATTTGTCTACGTGTCTTGAATTGCCCATCACAAACTTGTTTATCGCAGCAGAAGTAATATGTTGACCCAAAATTCCCATCAGAATGGGCAACCAGCCGTAGCACGCTTCTCGCTGCCGGGCCACGGGTCACAACCATCAACTGCACGTCCTGTGTGAGCAATACCATCATACTATCATTTATTCAGGAACACACAAGAGGATGAATCTGGGTTCTTGTTAGACATGGATGGAGCGCTATTACCACCGGACCTGGCACTCACATGCGTTTACTGAGATGAGAAACAGTTGCATGATGGGTCCATTATCAGTGACCTTCTGTAGTACTAGAGGTCTCGGTTGTATCGTACATTGGAGGACGGATATATATTTAATAGCCTTCATCCATAAGAAACTCTCTGAGGGATGAAGGTTGAACAAATAAAGACAGGAAGGTCATTGAAGAACTTTGTAAATGTGCTCCTCTGTGGGAGAACGTTGGAGAGAGAATGCATAGATAAATCAGTTGGAAACTGATTTTTGTTCTTGCTATAAGTAAAACCTATTTCTGTTGTGTAGACGTTTCATCCACCTTCTGTATAACACCCTACATACCTTATGTGCTGGCTCGCACTTCTGCATTCTTTCCAAAATATGAAGCATATAAGCATCTAATGCAGAACAGATTATTTATTTTGTTTAATATGCTTTTAACCCTATTTTTGTTAAACAAATGTTTCCACGAGCATTTGAAGCGGCATATGCCATGAAAAGATGCACAATCTCATGAACAGAGGACGGGAAACATGTTGAATGTCATGACAATGGTACTTTTGGTGTTTGTCCAGTCATCCATGTTCTCTTAAAACATAACTAGCAGTCTGAGCAATTAACACTGTCCTTTTTTAAAGCTGCTTTGAAGTCATTTATCTTGTGTGGTATGCAAATAAATCAGAATGGAGCTGAATAATTACTTGTGATTGTATCCTAAATCAGCAGTCTTGGAGAGATTGTGGATTCTTTATGATTTATTCTGTTTTTGTTTTTTTAATATTTACATTTCATATAAAAAAAATAGTTTTTTTTTATTATTATTTAGACAATATAGTATACAATTTTAACTAGAGATGCACCGATTACAATTTTCTAGGCCGATCCCGATTCCGATTCTTCCTTGAGTTTGACCTGCCGATACCGATTTTAGCCGATTCCGATTTCATTTTTTCAAACCACTTTACAGCACACACAAATATTTATTTTCTATCTTCTCTTTAATCGAAAATTTTACATAGAACATTTTTTTCTGAACAGATAATCGCTATAAAATAGAACAATATAAATTACTCCTGGTGTGGGAAATTCACATCTAAAGTGGAGTGTTATGGAAGAACCATTGCCTTTTCACATCCAACATCCAACTAAAAAAAAATTCTATATTTAGCAAACTAAACTTCTGTATGAAAACAGGTAATGGCAATAAAATAATATATAAATAACAAATAAAAATAAAATAAAATGCAGTATAAAGATATTTCTCTCTCTCTCTCTCTCTCTCACACACACACACACACACACACACACACACACACACACACACACACACACACACACACACACACACACACACAGGCCTATTGCAATCACTTGTACATCAATGGCAAGTTATATTTCTCACACAGTTCTTCTCTCATCTGACACATGTCCAGCCAAGCTAAACAGGACAAGTGGAGCACGTGCAGGGAAACGATTGGGAAATAATAAAAACAAGTTTAAATGGGTAAATTTTCTATAAATATTTTTTAATCTTTATTTTCTTTCTGACATAGCCTAGCATGCAAATTCACACACCAGACAGACATGCAAATTCTGTGCATTTTGAGCACTTTTTGGATGAAATCATATTTATTTTGTCCATCAAAAGTATGCTTTCACTTTAATTGAGCGCAGCAAAAATAGACTCGGCGCCGAAACCCGCGCTTCACTGTTGCTCACGCGACGCTGCTCGACGCTCACGCGCTGCTCCGGCTCCCGGTGTGAATGCACTCATTGATTAACATGCACGGCGAACAAAAAAAAACGTGCGGTGTGAAACGGCCGTAATTCACGAGGTTTCCTACATATGTGCGTTCCGTGTGCACGTGATGCTGATGTTGCGCGATGTTAATCATGCGGCGCCCGAGTGCATTTGAGCGGCATAAAATCGGATTATGTCAGACTGACCGGCCGGTCGCCGATCATGGCCGATCACGTGAAAATCGGCCGATTCCGGTCACCAGCCGATCAATCGGTGCATCTCTAATTTTAATAACTGCCATTTATTGGTTATCAGCCATAACATGAAAATAATTCTCGGCTTACTAGTTTTGCATCCCTATATTTCATACACATATCCAGATATACTGACTGCATTGTACAGTAAGTTATTTTAGGACCTTTGATTGTTCAAACTGTTTCTGGGAAAATAAATGGACCTCTTGAAACTCTGAAGACTTTTAGCCCTGAAATCATGTTACAGTAAATATAAAATAAATGTTGCAAATAATTAATATTTAACAGAATAAAAGAAAAACACAAGAAAAAGAAAAAATGTGTTTTGAAGTAAACAAAAGCCCCAACAAATACTGTGGGTTTCTGTTTTCGAAAACAATCGTTACTTTTTCAATAACCAGTTGTGTCACTATAGCAAATTCATCTTTGGTGCATTTTTCTCACAGCTTCAGTCCACACTAAAAATCAAAGGACACGTGGATGGGCTCCTGTTGAAATGCTGCTCATTCATGTAGCTCTGATTCTAGAAACCTCCAGTTTTCCACACATTTCAGAGTTTTGCCTTCTGCACGGAATAACAACATTGCTGGAACTCTACAGCTGTCAAATCACAGGTGGATGATGCAGTATAAATATTCCCCCAGTCACACATCTGCAAATCTGGAATATGATAGAAGACATGCAGTTCCTCATTTGCCACGAGCCAAAATATGGGAATACTAATGTGCCGTGTGTGCAAACGTGCACACACACATAGGTTTGACGACACTGACCTTCATCTCCTCTGGGCAAGGTAGTCGGTAGACAGCCATTTATCTTTTATTCATTCTGCCATTTCTAGGGAAGGAAGCTTTCCTGCCATGGTGGCTTGTCACAGTAGAGGCCATTTTGTGATGTGTGGCACGCTTTGGCTGATCAGTACGCATGCACACAACACCAGGCTCAGACACGTATATTCATATATCTCAGTAAATCACACACACACACACATTGCAGTTAGTGGTGCAGTCATGTGGAGATGAGCTGTGAATGACTTGACATCTGTCAGTGAAACTAGTTTGACAGTCTTTAAAACCAGCTGCTTTTCCTCAACCTCTTTCTTTCTCCCTCTTTTGCTTTCATTTCTGTTTCTGCCTTTCATTATCCATCTCTTATGCTCCAGAAACAACATTGGTATTCTCACAAGAAGCCACACTGCACCACCTGAGCTACATATAACGACAAAAACATCTCAAATATTGTCAAATGCTTTTTGACGAGACTTCCCAGCCATTGTTTCCAGCAACTGTTTTAAGTCCCTTTGCCACCTTTTCAGTGCTTTCTCTAACACGATTGCTAGAATAATACGCAGAGTCTGTCCTCCTCTGCTGTGTTTGCGTAACACCGAGCGATTCTTCTGCAACCCATTAGCATTGTCGAGACAGCAGTATGGAGTTTTGTCATTTTATTGATGGACATAATGATTGAGCTGTTTGAACATTTATACTAGCTGTTTTTATCATCTTATGTACTACCTCTAATTTATGCATTCTGTTCTTGTAATAAGGAAATTCTCCTAAAATAAAAGATAATTTGAATGTTTAGTTAAAAAGTAAATCAACAACAGTTCAGAACAACCGTTCCAGCCTGTATGTTAGTGGTGGGGTTGTTCATTGACTCTTTCAGCAAGTTACATAGTTACACCAGTTGGTACGGTAGTCTTCATGAGAGAGTCATTGAATCATTCATTGAAAATAATTGTTCCTTCATGAGTCTGATGTATCAAATATGATGCATAAAAACATTAAAACAATTATTGCATTGTTTACTATTGTTTTGTATTCAGATTTTGAAAGAGCAGAGATTTTGTTTTGAATGTTTACAGTCAAGAATGCATTTCTTTCAGAATCACTATTATCATCTATTTAGAGTTTATTGTCATTTTTCATTCCTGTATCTTGTAGAACAGTGTGCTAACAACACCAAGGCTGAGGGTTTCCCAGGGAATGCAGAATGTTAAAACATATGCTTCGAATACACTAAAAATGAACATTTGATGAAAGTGCCTACCAAATGTATACATGTAAATACATTTGGAAATCTTCACGTTCGTCTGATTCTTCTTGTGAGATCCACAAAATCTTCAAATTCTCATCATTTATTTACATGACAGACCTGTTAGAATTCCTCACATGACCATTTGTAAAAAGGGCTTCATATTGCCACAGTATTGATGAATTAGAAATGCTGCAGAACCTTGAATCCATCTCCATATCCCTCACTGATCTGACCACCATTTCTCTCGCACTCTTCACAGATGATAACTGTCGTCTGGGAGATTATAAAAAATTGAAGACCAAGATGTTGGACTTACATGCACAGAGGTACTTGACCTCTGGTAACCATGGCAGCCATGAGAAGGATATGGCAAGTAGGAAGCATCTGGTGGACATGATGTTCAAGCGCTTTGACGCAGATGGTAGCGGAAGAGTTGACAGCAGTGAGCTCTCACAGGTAAGACAGAACAAGAGCAGACCAAAATCAGTCTCTTTTCTTTCACCCGTTTAATTGACCTTCTTAACGTGTATCTGTCATCTTAATGACCATTTTCAAACCAACAGAAGAGGTCAGTTTTCTGATAAAAGAGAAAAATAGAGATGTTGCAGGGTTAAACAATAAGGATGGATTGGGGCCAGAGTCAGAGTGTTTTGGGCCTGTTGAGTGAGCTGTCATTTATCATTTTAAACCTTTGCCGTTTTAATCTTTCATACATGTTTTTATGCCTTGCAAATGAAAACATCTGTTGACAAATGAAATCAACATGTTGAATGATATGTTGTTCTGGAATTATGCTGAATTATATGTCACCAAGGGAACATCTAGCTGCTAACATATACACTCCTGGGCAAAAAATAGGTCCAAGCCCAAAATGGCTAAACTAAGCTTTTAATTGTCTTAACCACAAATTATTGGTCAGGAAATTAGCCAAATTTAAGCAAATGCACTACTTAAAATGCCATTGCTGCCTGTCTGAGAAAAACATCAAAGACAGGATGATGTTTTCGGCAGAATATGGGAAGTTGTGTGTGGAGTGAAGAATCACGATGAAACAGGAGTTGTATGGTGATGCTCCTGAGCGGTGTCTTCAAAAATCTGCTGAGAAATATAATAATAAATGCATCTAATAATAAATGTATCTCTACCATAGTGCAGAATGGAGAAAGAGCTGCCGTTGTGTGGGGAGCCTTTTTAGCTGCTGGTATTGGTGAACTTCAATCTGAAAAGTAATTTATTGCTTTCGAGTACAGGATAATATTGCAGAATGGCTTGCTTCCCAAAAATTAAAAGTTGTTATCTAAAGAGGAATGATCAAATATTATTTTTCAACAAGACAATGTTCCTACCCAAATTTCAAAGACAATCCAGAAGTCGCTTGAGAACAATGGTGCGTTCACGTGCTATGGTAATTCGCCTTATTCACCTGGCGGCCATTTTGAAGGGGTACACAAACCCGGAAGTTGACTCCGACGCAGCAGCACTAGCAATAGAAACTCCAGTGTGGACCACCAATCTTTCCTATCTGCCCGAATTAACGATGCAAAATGTGAAGCAGTGAGCCAGTACTGACTGCAACATCCCCCGGGCTGTGTTAATTAAGGGATACAGTAACAGGATCGAAGGTTTTATCCACGACATTGAACGTATGAATGGACGCCGATTTACCTCTGTTTCTGCTAGCTTGTAGATCTATACAAATCCTTAACCATCGTTATTGTTTTTCTCTATGAATCTATACAAATCCTTAACCATCATTATTGTTGTTCTTTATGAATCTACACAAATATGTGAACTTGTATTGTTACCATAGCACCTTATCATGGTCAGTGTGTTACAGGATCAATCCCTGTCAGACCTTATAATCACTTCTCATGCTCTTTACTTTTACATACCTGTGAGTGATTTGATTGTTTATGTGTATCTGTGTGTAAGCTACTGGATGTGTATCCATCTGTGTATCTATCTAAAGAATAAAGTACAATTGTATTACACATGGATGATGTCCTTTATAACTTTATAATTTAATATACCGGAACCAGAACAGGTCGGAATATCAGAAAACATTAAAAAAAACATTGATAGGCACACTGGTCTAGGTTTGTAAAGGTAACTTTGTACATAGAAGTTGATACGGGGGAATAATGTAAAATGGCCTGCCTGTATATGGAAAAGGAACTAGAACATCAGAAAACAGGCCGTTCAAAAAACAATGATAGGCACAATAGTCTAGGTTTGTAAAGGTAACCATGTACTTAGAAGTATGGAAAAGGAACCGGAACAGGTCAGAACATTAGAAATTACATTAGGAACAAACCACTTAAAAACATTAACAAAAGAGAACTATATACATAAACAGATTATCAGTGATGTCTTGCTCGTTGTTGGGGGGACAGATGTGTAGCCCATCTTGGCAAAGTGAGCGAGAGTGTAGAGCAGCCCGATGAGATGGTTGCACTGTCCCAAGCCAGCTTTGCAGTTGCACTGCGTCTCCCTTATAAATGGCTGCTCAAGTGACAGCTCCACCTGAAAAGATAATCAAACTTTAGACACTTGACACTTCAGAGTTGCTATTAACAAATATATGGCATATATATATATATATATATGTGTGTGTGTGTGTGTGTGTGTGTGTGTATGTATATATACACTCACCGGCCACTTTATTAGGTACACCTGTCCAACTGCTCGTTAACACTTAATTTCTAAGCAGCCAATCACATGGCGGCAACTCAGTGCATTTAGGCATGTAGACATGGTCAAGACAATCTCCTGCAGTTCAAACCGAGCATCAGTATGGGGAAGAAAGTTGATTTGAGTGACTTTGAACGTGGCATGATTGTTGGTGCCAGAAGGGCTGGTCTGAGTATTTCAGAAACTGCTAATCTACTGGGATTTTCACGCACAACCATCTCTAGGGTTTACAGAGAATGGTCCGAAAAAGAAAAAACATTCAGTGAGCGGCAGTTCTGTGGGCGGAAATGCCTTGTTGATGCCAGAGGTCAGAGGAGAATGGCCAGACTGGTTCGAGCTGATAGAAGGGCAACAGTGACTGAAATAACCACTCGTTACAACCGAGGTATGCAGCAAAGCATTTGTGAAGCCACAACACGCACAACCTTGAGGCGGATGGGCTACAACAGCAGAAGACTCCACCGGGTACCACTCATCTCCACTACAAATAGGAAAAAGAGGCTACAATTTGCAAGAGCTCACCAAAATTGAACAGTTGAAGACTGGAAAAATGTTGCCTGGTCTGATGAGTCTCGATTTCTGTTGAGACATTCAGATGTTAGAGTCAGAATTTGGCGTAAACAGAATGAGAACATGGAACCATCATGCCTTGTTACCACTGTGCAGGCTGGTGGTGGTGGTGTAATGGTGTGGGGGATGTTTTCCTGGCACACTTTAGGCCCCTTAGTGCCAATTGGGCATCGTTTAAATGCCACGGCCTACCTGAGCATTGTTTCTGACCATGTCCATCCCTTTATGGCCACCATGTACCCATCCTCTGATGGCTACTTCCACCATGTCACAAAGCTCTAATCATTTCAAATTGGTTTCTTGAACATGACAATGAGTTCACTGTACTAAAATGGCCTCCACAGTCACCAGATCTCAACCCAATAGAGCATCTTTGGGATGTGGTGGAACGGGAGATTCGCATCATGGATGTGCAGCCGACAAATCTGCGGCAACTGTGTGATGCCATCATGTCAATATGGACCAAACTCCCTGAGGAATGCTTCCAGCACCTTGTTGAATCTATGCCACGAAGAATTGAGGCAGTTCTGAAGGCAAAAGGGGGTCCAACCCGTTACTAGCATGGGGTACCTAATAAAGTGGCCGGTGAGTGTATATATATGTATATATATATAAATATAAATATATGTATATGTGTGTGTGTATATATATATATGTATATACACACACACACACTGAGTGTGCAGTGAATTAGGTACATCTGGCATTTAAATGATCTGCCATGAAAATATTACAGCTACATGCTGGTAGTGGTAGGTTGTTTACAGCTGTGATACCTGATAGTTATACTGTCATTACACTATCATTGTTTACAAGCAATAGCAACATGCACCTAGCCCTGTCTGGCTTTGCTAATTTGAAACAAGATAATATTTGAGTAGATATCAATGAGGCTTATGTGATATTACATCAACTACAGATAACATGTTAATGAGATAAAATCAACATGTTATTTTCAGTCAGACAGGGTAAGGTACATTTTTCCGCACTGAGGGAAAAGACCTAAGTTAGCCCTCACAAATATGTGTGATGGGCTCCTATTAACTGTCGATTAAAGATATGTTAAGTGTTAAATAAAATCTAACATAGTACATAGTCAACAACTCCATATCACAGCTAAGCTTACTACCCCTAGCTGCTACAGGCTAGTAGAAACGGAGGTAAATCGGCGTCCATTCCTACCTTCAATGTCGTGGATAAAACCTTCGATCCAGTTACTGTATCCCTTAATTAACACAGGCTGGGGGATGTTGCAGTCAGTACTCGCTCACTGCTCCACGTTTTGCATCGTTAATTCGGGCAGACAGGAAAGATTGGTGGTCCACACTGGAGTTTCCATTGCTAGTGCTGCTGCGTCGGAGTTAAACTTCCGGGTTTGTGTACCCCTCAACGCGTTCGCGTTTTCAAAATGGCCGCCAGGTGAATAAGGCGAATTATGGTAAATACCAAAAGCCGACGTGGAAAATGCACATGAACACCCCCTCATGTGGTATTTTCCACTGGGCAGCTCGTAGAATATTTTGATGCACGAGTTGCCGAGATGAGATAACCTTTGACCTTTTCAAAATGGCGGAGAGCAACGCAAGAGTTGTGAATGGTAAAAATATGTACTATTCATGATCTAGAAAATATACAGCATATTAGTTTTGATAAATAATTTTCTTGCTGTAGCAGATGACTTAAGCAATCTAAAATAGTTTTAGCTAAATAACAGGTCTGGATCTCCATATTTTTACCACATTACGACAACAAAAGCACTTGAACGCAACACACTGGTAAATACCAGTTCACAAGTGGAAAATATCATATTTTCCATAGCACGTGAACGCACCACAAGTACATCAAGGCCTGGTCAGATTCCAGATTTGAACCCTGGTCTCACAATAAACTCAAATGAACTGGGAGGCATTTTTTTTAACTTCTCATGAACTGTTTGAATCCATCAACATCGAGTGGACCAACACTGAGGGCCCTATCTTGCACCCAGCGCAATTGACTTTGTATCATTTCTATTTTGCACCCTATTTTGCACGCACATCGGTAAATTAGGGAATGAACTTGCGCTCCCGGGGGCGGTTCAGTGAAAAGAGGAGGCGTGTTCCGGCGCAAACCTTCCCTGGTGCTACTTTGCAGTTCCAGAAAACAATTCTGCCACTGACCAGGAAAAACCTAGTCCACAAAGTTACTTGCATTTCGCGTTTGATACTTGCGTTTCAGATCGTTAAAATAGGGCCCTGAGTCTCCATTCTCTAAAAAACTGTCTGCAAGTTTACCCACTCATCTTAAAAAACTGTCTGCAAGTTTACCCACTCATCTTAAACATTTAAAGAAAACAAAGGTGCTAAGTTACTTTATCTACAGTATTTGTACAATTATTGCTCATTTCCTGACCAGTGTTTTGTGATTAAAATGGTTAAGACCATTAAAAGACCACTACATATTTTGTCAGTTTTGGCTTGACAGCCCCTTTTTTTTTCAACAGTGTACATGAGGTTTAATTGAAATTGCAAGAGTGAAGAAAAGGGAAAACAGAGAAAATAAGGGTTTGTGAGTGCAAGACAAAAAAATAAAATAAATAAAAATCCTGAATTTCTCAAAAGCAGCTCAAATGTTATGGGTTTTCTTGATGAAATGTACTCACCCTTTCCAAACCTGTATGACTTTATTTCTTCTGTGGAACACAAAAGAAGATATTTTGAAGAACGTTGCTAACTTAACAGTTTTTGTTCCCATTGACTTTCTATTGTATGGACAAAAAATACAGTGGAAATCAATGGGAATTGTTTGGTTATCAACAGTCTTCAGAATATCTTCTTTTGTGTTCCACAGAAGAAATAAAGTCATACAGGTTTGGAAAGACATGAGGGTGTGTAAATGATGACAGAATTTTTTCTTTTTGGGTGTACTATTTTAAATAAAAATAAAAAAAGAGAATAGAAATTATGAAGTCCAATCAAAGCCTTTATGCGAATACGTGTTGTTTTGGTTTGTTTACAACAATACAATATTTAATGTTTGAATCTGATATGTTATGAAAATAGCTGGGGATCACTTTTACCCACGTTCTATTGCATTAATTTGAAATGGCAAATGAGCAGGCGAGCTTGTCTCTTTTTTTAATAACTCGTTCATAAACTGATCCCAGGTCAGTTGGGCTTTATCTTGTCCTGCGGCAGAAAGATTACACCTGTCCATACTGTGCATAGCGAAATGAGCAAAATATGAATTTATTCATATTTCTCCAGAGAGAAAACTCTGAACGCACTTTCACTCTCGGTTACAGGCGTGAGCCATTTCAATTTCATTGTGCAATATTTTCATGTCATTTGCATATTTCTTCATTCTCAGTGGAAGAAGAATAGATCTCTTTTCATGCATGGCAGATCGAAGACAATGTAAAAAGTGAAAATTCGGACCGGCCCTGAATACAAAAGCTTGGCCTTTTGACATGAAGCTACCGCAAGGTTGAAAAGGTGTTAGAGGAATAGGCACATATAGTGAAATGCCTTGCAGCGAAATCAAACCATTCTGCTCTAATAGAGCAATTAAACACTATCAGTATTCTGCTCAACTCTGTAGGTCTTCTGGTACACCTGGAATGATCTTTATGCCGAAAGTAAAGGGACAGTCCATGAACCCTTTCTGGCTTAATGAATGAGTATTGTTGTTGATATCATATCATATATATTTAATAATGTCAATATATTTAATAATACATAGAGACATTCTGGAAACCACTTAATGCAACATTTTAATACATTTAATACCAAGTCTTGAAATATACAGTACATGATATAAAATACTAATGCCCCCAAAACATATTTGGATGCTTAAGACACTTTAGAAATATGTGCATCACTACATCCGATGCAAAATATTAAACAAAGTTGCATCTTCAAACAAATGATACTCAAAAACTTTTCCAGAACTTACTTTATCCTGCTTTTTTGTGCATCTAGAAGTGTTTATTTAAAAGTGATAGAATAAGTGCATGCCTAAAGCTGTTCTGGGATTTCATTTAGCACGGTGGATCAGATGTAGAGAGTCGTTCATTATGGAAAACTTTGCTGACATCGCCTGTAGCATGCGGTTTCGCAGATCAGAGAAGTACATCAACAAATTTCAGCATTTGAAAGTTTGCCTGTTTGTTTGATTTATCTTCGAAGTAAACGGTAAATCAACACTGCAAAGCAAAAGAGGTGAAAGTAAAGGTTTTGAGTCAGTTTCTGTGCTGGTATCAAGTCTCTATAAGAGGATTAGAGTTTGCAACAGATAATAAAAGGACAGGATTGAATCTGAACACAGTTTTAGATCTGGTTTTAGTAATATAAGTCAGTGTGGGTCAGTCTTAGCACTAGGTATGCCAAAGCTTTCAGGAGATGGTATATATCTATATTAATTATGTGTAGTTATAGCACTTTCAGTAAGTTTTGAATCCAGTGACCACCAGTCACCAAGTTAAATATGATTGTTCATACCGCATATGCTCAAGGCATTTTCCAAATCTTAACAGTGAATCTAACCCCTAACATTTATTATCAACAATCCCTCCAGCTTTCTTTCTCTAACTGTAATTACCATCAGATATTTCTGGCATGGATGAATGTATGATAGAACGTTTTACAGTAATCCCTCATGTTTTCCAGCATAAGGCTGTTATAAAATCTTGCTCACTTCTGGATGTTTGCCAGCCGACAGGATGCACAATGTCTGATGCAGATAGGAATCACATCTTTAATTATTCAGAATGGTACACCAGAGAAGTTTTGCTCCAGGATGGAGATTTTACATCAGACGTCATGTGGAGGCCCAAGACGGCACCAAAATCGTGTAAACAAACATGTCCTTAAATTTAAACATCCTTTGTTAATATTTCCTTGAGCTACATTCACTGCACAAAACACATTTGCTCTGGTAAGTTATCATTTTAAAGTGTCATACAGTAGGTGCTGCTCTGGATTTAATCTCTTTAATCTTGTTGTCATGCAGGTCATCAAGCAGGAAGGTCTGAGCAGGACGGCATCAGAGTGCACCCTGTTCGACCTGTTCAAATTTAACGACGTCACCGATGACGAACACCTAACTAGAGAGGAGTTCTACGCAGCTTTTGGTGAGTGTTGGGTTTTGATAAAGTGGTGAAAGTGAACAAAGCTGAGAGAGATTTTCAGCTACATAATTAGCACCGTCATGGCTGAATGCACATTCAGTAACTGTGACACTTATTTGCAGTGTCATTTGTTAATAGCACAATGGATAATTGCAGTATTTTCATGAAGAAACTGAACACATTTTCAATCTCGGTTACAGATGTGAGCAGCTTTAATTTCATTGTGCAATATTTTCATGTTTGGATATGTGTTCATTCTCACAGGAAGTAGATTAGTCTCTTTTTTATTAGTGATTGGACGTGTGAGGAAGTTAACTATTCTAGTTCGGATTCCAATTGGACATGATGAAAGATGAAGTCGAGAAACACTGATTCAGTCAAGTTAAGTTTGTTAACTTGACAGATTTTTTGTTGTTGTTGACAGATTTGTAAGTCTTTTTGATTGATTCAGCTGACTCAGTCAATTGTTCATTAATCAGACTGCAACTACTGAGGACTTAAAGGAATAGTTCACTTAAAAATGAAAATTCTGTCATCATTTACTCACCCTCAAGTTGTTTCAAACCTGGATGAATTTCTGTCTTCTGCTGAACACAAATTAACATATTTTGAAGAATGTCGGTAACCAGACTGTTGATGACATTGACTTCCATAGTAGGAAAAAAAAAACACTTAAGTTTCAGTACAGTGCTCCATCTGCGCATGTGGAAGAATGTAGGCATTAAAGAACTGTGAACAGAGCCAAACATCATGAAAATCATTAGGTTCCAGTAAAATATTGCAATATCCAGAACTGGTTCTTGGATCCCAGCCCTGCTCTTCATGGCAAGTTCAGAACCATTGGCATGACATAATGAAGTGACATTTCTCTGTTAGTCCATTCCACAGGGTCACCGGCCTCTGAAATGGACTGTGACTCTGACAACCCACTGTTAGAAAGTCAGATCTTGCGGTCATCGTAAAGGTGAATGAATCCTAATTAAGCTCTAATTGAAGTCTACAGTCATATTTTTCAGTAAGCCACTGAACAGTGGCGGCCTGAGTACCATTTTCCTCTTTCATGTACTCATTAACGGATTTGCTGAAGAGAAACTGAGGCACACTAATTAACTGCATGACTCAAGATGCAAGTAACATTTGGTATAGAGCATTTGTGTCAGCCTGGAAACTAAGTTATATTGCTAAAGTAGCTGAACCCAGACTCCATGGAGTGCCCATAGTAATCAAGCTGATAAAAGATGTTTTATGTTAAAGAGGTGGACATGACTGACCTCACTAAACTGAGGAGGTCCTCTGGTTTTATTACACATTTTTCTATTTAATGGAAATATATTTCTAATGTATACACACACACATTGGGTTTTCATGTGTTATGGGGACATTCCATATACAGAATGATTTGTATACTGTGCAAACTATTCTATCTTCTGACCCTAAACCTACATTACCCATCACAGAAAACGTTCTGCATTTTTATATTTTTAAAAAGGATCGTATAGAATTATTTATAAACTGTTTTCCTCACGGGGACCAAAAGATGTCCCCACAAGGGGACAAGGGATTTGGATATTGTCATCTTTGTGGTGACGTTTTGTCCTCATAATGTAGGGTTTACTAGGACCACACACACTGCTGTTCAAAAGTTTGCGGTCTTTAAGTTTTTTACATGTAAATGTTTTTTTTTTTATCTATTATGCTAACCAAAGCACATTATGCAAATATGCTTATTCTATTATTCATATTTTTGTGGAAACTGTGATACATTTTTGTTTCTGGGTTTTTTGATGACTAGAAGGTTCAAAAGAACAGCATTTATAAATTTAAATTTAAATATTAATACAAATATTGGTAACACTTTACAATAAGGTTCACAAGTTAACATTAGTTAATGTATTAACTTACATGAACTAACAATGAGCAATACATTTGTTACAGTATGTATTAATCTTTTTTAATGTTAGTTAAATAAAAATACAGCTGTTCATTGTTTGTCCATGTTAGTTCACAGTGCATTAACTAATGTTAACAAATACAACCTTTGATTTTAATAATGTATTAGTAAATGTTGAAATCAATATTAACTAAGATTAATAAATGCAGAAGTATTGTTTATTCTTAGTTCATGTTAACTATGTTAGTTAACTAATGTTAATAATAATAATTTATTACATTTATATAGCGCTTTTCTCGGCACTCAAAGCGCTTTACATAGAAGGGGTTTCATCCTCAACCACCACTAATGACTAATGAACCTTATTGTAAAGTGTTACCCAAATTTTGTGTAACATTTTAATTTAAGTCTTTCCTGTCACTTTTTTATCAATTTAATACATTGTAGCTGAATAAAAGTATTAAAATATTCCTGACCCCAAACTTAATAGTATGGGTGTGATATAAATTATAAAAAAGAATGCAGCCTTGGTTAGCATAATAGAATTAAAAAAAACATATATAGATAACACTTTACAATAATGTTTAATTTGTGATCATGTTAATGTATTAACTAACATGAACTAACTATGAGCAATACATTTGTTACAGTATTTATTCATCTTTGTTAACGTTAGTAGAGCTGTTTATTGTTTGTTCATGTTAGTTATCAGTGAATTAAAGGGTTAGTTCACCCAAGAATGAAACTTTTGTCAGTAATTACTCACCCTCATGTCGTTCCAAACCCGTAAGACTTTCGTTCATTTTCGGAACACAAATGAAGATATTTTTGATGAAATCTGAGAGCTTTCTGTCCCTCCATTGGCAGCTACGCAACTATCATTTTGACACTTCAAAAAGTTCATAAAGAGATCGTAAAACTAATCCATATGAATTGAGCGGTTTAGTCCAACATTTTCTGAAGAGACACGATCTCTTTATGCGCTGAACAGATTTAATTTAGGCTTTTATTTACATATAAACATTCATCAACTCTCACATCAGTTGTGGTAAACAGAAGCTCAAGCATGTTCGCTTGACGTGTGAGAACCAATGAGGTTCATTCTCGTGTGTTACGCGGCACGTTTGAGCTTCAGCAAGAACCAATGAGGTTCATTCTCGTGTGTTACGCAGCACGTTTGAGCTTCTGCAAGAACCAATGAGGTTCAATCTCGTGTGTTACGCAGCACGTTTGAGCTTCTGCAAGAACCAATGAGGTTCATTCTCGTGTTACGCAGCACGTTTGAGCTTCAGCAAGAACCCATGAGGTTCATTCTCGTGTGTTACGCAGCACGTTTGAGCTTCTGCAAGAACCAATGAGGTTCAATCTCGTGTGTTACGCGGCACGTTTGAGCTTCAGCAAGAACCAATGAGGTTCATTCTCGTGTGTTACGCAGCACGTTTGAGCTTCAGCAAGAACCAATGAGGTTCAATCTCGTGTGTTACGCGGCACGTTTGAGCTTCTGCAAGAACCAATGAGGTTCATTCTCGTGTGTTACGCAGCACGTTTGAGCTTCAGCAAGAACCAATGAGGTTCATTCTCGTGTTACGCAGCACGTTTGAGCTTCTGCAAGAACCAATGAGGTTCATTCTCGTGTGTTACGCGGCACGTTTGAGCTTCTGCAAGAACCAATGAGGTTCATTCTCGTGTTACGCAGCACGTTTGAGCTTCTGCAAGAACCAATGAGGTTCATTCTCGTGTGTTACGCAGCACGTTTGAGCTTCAGCAAGAACCAATGAGGTTCAATCTCGTGTGTTACGCGGCACGTTTGAGCTTCTGCAAGAACCAATGAGGGTCTTTCTAGTGTGTTACGCAGCACGTTTGAGCTTCAGCAAGAACCAATGAGGTTCATTCTCGTGTTACGCAGCACGTTTGAGCTTCTGCAAGAACCAATGAGGTTCATTCTCGTGTGTTACGCAGCACGTTTGAGCTTCTGCAAGAACCAATGAGGTTCATTCTCGTGTGTTACGCAGCACGTTTGAGCTTCAGCAAGAACCAATGAGGTTCAATCTCGTGTGTTACGCAGCACGTTTGAGCTTCTGCAAGAACCAATGAAGTTCATTCTCGTGTGTTACGCAGCACGTTTGAGCTTCTGCAAGAACCAATGAGGTTCATTCTCGTGTTACGCAGCACGTTTGAGCTTCTGTGAGAACCAATGAGGTTCAATCTCGTGTGTTACGCAGCACGTTTGAGCTTCTGCAAGAACCAATGAGGTTCATTCTCGTGTGTTACGCAGCACGTTTGAGCTTCTGCAAGAACCAATGAGGTTCATTCTCCTGTGTTACGCAGCACGTTTGAGCTTCTGCAAGAACCAATGAGGTTCATTCTCATGTTACGCAGCACGTTTGAGCTTCTGCAAGAACCATCTCGTGTGTTACGCAGCTTGTTTGAGCTTCTGCGAGAATCAATGAGGTTCATTCTTGTGTGTTACGCAGCACGTTTGAGCTTCTGCTAGAACCAATGAGGTTCAATCTCGTGTGTTACGCGGCACGTTTGAGCTTCAGCAAGAACCAATGAGGTTCATTCTCGTGTTACGCAGCACGTTTGAGCTTCTGCAAGAACCAATGAGGTTCATTCTCATGTGTTACGCAGCACTTTGAGCTTCTGTGAGAACCAATGAGGTTCATTCTCATGTGTTACGCAGCACGTTTGAGCTTCTGCGAGAACCAATGAGGTTCATTCTCGTGTGTTACGCAGCTCGTTTGAGCTTCTGCAAGAACCAATGAGGTTCATTCTCATGTTACGCAGCACGTTTGAGCTTCTGCAAGAACCATCTCGTGTGTTACGCAGCTTGTTTGAGCTTCTGCTAGAACCAATGAGGTTCATTCTCGTGTGTTACGCAGCACGTTTGAGCTTCTGCAAGAACCAATGAGGTTCATTCTCCTGTGTTACGCAGCACGTTTGAGCTTCTGCAAGAACCAATGAGGTTCATTCTCATGTTACGCAGCACGTTTGAGCTTCTGCAAGAACCATCTCGTGTGTTACGCAGCTTGTTTGAGCTTCTGCGAGAATCAATGAGGTTCATTCTTGTGTGTTACGCAGCACGTTTGAGCTTCTGCTAGAACCAATGAGG